TTATACTAGGTGAAAAAATGGAAATGCATTAATAAAGAAGGAATATGTTTTGGAAAAAGAAAGAAAAAAATTTATTTTTTAAAAAAAACTGGAAAAAGTGAGATTTTATAATTTAAGTCCCACATGACAAGACACTATAATTGGTACAATAATGCTCATTCACGTGGATTCCTTAAAAAATAAAAACAAAAAGATAAATAGTAGGAGTAGGTTACTACTATTGGTCTAAGATTTGAGTAGATAAAAAATCAATGTAAAAAATAAGTATTTAAACATGATAAAAATGATTTCTTTTACTTTTTTAAAATCTTAAAATAAACGAGCTTATAAAACAATTGTTAGTACTTAACTACTTAAGGAACTTAGTTTGAGTGAGAATCCACGTCTTATCAACATGTAATTCAATATAAAAATAAAGAAAAAGTTGTATTCTAGCTGGTCTTATCTATAGTAATTGCCCAATTTACCTTAAACAAGAATTAAAGAAGACAGTAAAATAAAAAAATGGTGGCTAGAGTTTCGTTTAAATAAAAATTAACGTGGCTCTTTCTCCAAGAGATCTGCCACTAAAATTAAAAAAGAAAATAAGGAAGAAAGAGAAAACAGATCTGCTAATGCTTGCCATGTTAATAATTGTATCAAATTTCTAATCTTATGATGTATTATTGACTATAATTAGTTCATGTTGCTGCCGTTAAACAACACATTCTTTAACAAGGGCTGTTAAATTTTTAGAGTTTATCAACTGAAGTATGACATTCTTAACCTGTATCAAATTTTTTTTTTTTAATATTTTACTGTTGAAAGTGTGATAAGCTTTACTATAAAGAGAAAGATGTCAATGTTTCCAACAATACAAATAATTTTAATTTTATAGGAATAATGGTGACCAAAATTCTACAACCTACTACTAATCCTATAGGTAATGTGATTTTCTCTTACATTGGAGTCGTGACTTATGTGTACATAGTACTCCTATTTTGGGTTTATGACATAAACAAATTGAAGTCCCATTTGTGGAAACAACAAATATCTTGATGTCCAATAAATGCTAAACCTATAAATTCTTTTTGGAGAGTGAAAGAGGTGTTTGTTTTAATTGCCAAAGGGTATTATTTCTTTTCATATAGCAGGATTTGATATATCTTATCTTTCTGATCATTTTGATAGATTATTCTCTTTGAAGTTGTATGCACACACAATGTGTAAATTTCAAGCATCCTAAAGTCAACAATAGAAGTGGCCCAATTCTTAATGTACAAGTAGTGTGTTTTCTGGATATAAAATTGAAGTATGGAGAGATTTTAATAGAAATCACAAATTTAATTAAATATGAAAAAATAATATATATCATATATATAGTTAGCACTACTCTTATAATTCAATAAAAGACATGTCATCAACCCACTCTTCCCCAGACCTTAAACCAAAAACATGAAAATAGAAACCTCTTGACATTAATTTTAATCATTGTCAAGGTTGGTGTGTAGAAAAGAGTTACACAAATGTAATGCACCAGAGGGAGGAATGGAGATCCGAAATGCAAATAGAAAGTATTTGTTGAGATATATAGTCTCACATTAGTTGTATGTGCAACTAATGTAAAGTTTATAAGACCTTGAGCACTCTCACCCTTTGAGCTAGCTTTTGGGGTGATGTATCCCAAAGTTCTGTACAGTATTGATTGGAAAGCTATCCATGATGTACTATCCAATTCAAAGTTTAATATAACAGTAAACAGATTTCAACTGAAAATATCATAATCTTTGGTTGCAAGCATTTATGTTCTTAACTTAGAAAGCTCAAATCTGAAGACTATAGGACTGAAGGCTAGTGCACTAATTATTAACTCAAAACTGAAATACATTGACATAACAAAAAGAAGAGCTTAAGAGAGTTACCTCAGTGTGCAAGAGTGACCCTTCAGAAACAAAATGAGAATAGCCTTCCAAGTTAAACTCCAGAATTCATTCTAACAAGATTAATCTAGTAGTGGCATTGCAAGCACAAGCATAAACTTGATCTGATATATAAGAAGCACCCATTTTATACAACCCTTGATTTTCTAGAGAAGAATCTCTTTCTCTCTCTGCCTCCCTGCATGCTTTATAATTTATTTTATCGTAGTTTGTAAAACTTTATTAATTAAAAAACAAAGCTATTTTATAATCATCAAATCTCAGGAGAACAATATATATATACATGTGTAGAAAAACTGTCTCATATATAGAAAGAGAAAGAGAGAGAGCTCACAATCAAGGGAAGTGTGTGTTGAAGAATCCTGATGAGAGGGAACATGTGGAAATGTTTCTGTTCTCCATGACTCTTTTTTTAAGTTACCCAACTCTAATTACCTCTTTGAAGTGATTTGGCTCCCTGGGTATTCTCACAAGTTTTGGTTCTTTGAGTCGGCTACGAGACTAATCCGGAATGCGTCTACTTACCTCTTTGAAATAAGTTGGCTCCCCGGATATTTCCACAAGTTACGATTCTTTGAGCCGATTATAAGACTAATCCGGAGTGCGAAGCTATATTAAAATATTTAAATTCCTCCCAAAAATGACATACGAGGATCGAACTAATACCTTTTCTTTTTCACTATTCAATTCCTTTGCTACTAACTGAGCTACCACCGTTTAGTTACGTGACTCTTTTTCCGCTGAATCTGACCGTATCATATGTTTGATTTTCTTACACCTGACCTGAGTAATATTCAAGCACGTGAGAGGCAGAGTGCACGTGCACCCACATTGGCTTTGTTGTGGCTGTGGGGGTGTCAAATACCAACTCTTCATGCACTTTGCTCTGTTTGTAAACAGAGCAAAATTTTAGATTTCAGTTCAGACATCAATGAGGGGAAAGAAACTGAAAGCAGATTAGGATAAGGGATTTGATTTTCTTTTTGATTCAAAAGAGAGATTTGGGCGGTTTGAAATTTAATGTGCAAAGCCTTTACTTGTATAAAGTGATAATTTTATAATACTATGAGTTTTTCAAGAAAAAGGGTTGTTTGGAAAATTACTTAGATTTGGATAATCCAAAGGTTAACATTTTAGAACAGCATTCTTAATTTTTAACATTAAAGTCAACACTCTAAATTTTATTCATGCACAAATAGTTATATATATAAAATAGAAAGTTGTTTTATTTATAACCTATTTTTCCTTACAAGCTCTTATAATTATTTTTATGGTAGTAGGAGAAAATCGAATCAGCAGTTACAAATAACATTAACTGAAAATATATTTTGATTTTGATTCAACAATCATAGAAGTGATAGTAAGAAGTAATAAATATATTTTTTCCTATAAAATACGGGTTATAAATAGATTTCACGCAAACACAACAACCAATGGACCTCATGCTTCTAAAAAAAGAGAAAATCATTTTTTCACGTTGTTGAAGATTGATTTATCATGTTAAGAGGTATCGAAATTCGTGCTATCTTCTTTTTATTTTTTAGTGAAAAAATAATCATGTGGTCATGTTATTTGATCATAATCACTCATTTAAAAATCATACATTTTTCTCTCTCTTATCTCATTATCAATAAGTGAAAATGAATGACTATGATCAAATAACATGACCACTTTTCCACATGAGAGGATCCAAATTCTTTTTTTATTTTTCTAACAAGTGACGAGCCTTACCACTTGTTGTGTCTATAACATAAGAGATGTTATTTGACGTGACATGATAAAAGAGAAACCCTTAAAAAAAAAAATGAAATCACGGATTTAGAGCTGAGAGAACAGGAGAAGAATGCTTCGGTCACTTACCCATAAAATATACCAATACAAATATAAAAGCCCAGTTCAATTTTTATTTTTAATTTTGTCTAGACATCCAAAAAAGAGGGCTCCATGATATTTAGAAGCCCAGAGGCCCATACCATTCGTCAAAAAGCCCATACCAAAAGAAATCCATATAAATTCCTCCATCGTTCCCATAACCCTACTCTTAGTTATTCTTTGAGTCGCCGACAGCACTAAACTACTCCTTTTTTTTTTTTATCTTAGTATTCTTGTTCTGAACAAGTGCAAAGATGGGGGGAGTGTTTGTATTCTTATCCCTCTCACTGCTAACACAATTTCAATTCCTTCAATTTTTTTAAATTATTATTATTATGGGTAATGCCCTTAAAATTGCAATTTTTAGGTAAGTTATTTCTACCTATGGCTCCGAGTATCCTCTTATCTAATTGATAGGGTGTTCGGTGACAAGGTTGATACATTTAAATTTTTTACTCATGCGTTTTTTTGTTTTGTTTTGTTTGATAGACATTAATTTTGTTTTATGGGTTTTGCTCTCGTTTAAATTTGATGTTCTACTTGATTTATGATATGATGTTGAGTGATGATAAAAATCAGACGGATTCCCATTGATATATTTTATGCATGAGATCACAACCAGCTACTTCTGACAACATCATATTCATATTTTTTTTTTTTTTGGTTTTTATAATTATTATGCTTTTTGTTATTCGCTCTACATTTGATGATGGGCCAATGAAGCTTCAAAAATATTTGCTACTCTTGATGGGTCGAACCCATTTGATGATTTTTATCCACCAAGATCTGAGGCCTTTATTTATTTATGTTACATGTAGTATCCATAGTATATAGTGTAATGTGTAGTAAAATAGTAATAATTTGTAGACAAAAAATTTATAAATATAACTCTTCTCTTTTATTACGGGCATGCCCTTAAATTGCAATTTTTTTGTAAATTGTTTTAGCTGTTTCAGTGAATATATATAAAAATCCTTTTATGCACGTATATATCCGATAATATATAATGTGTAATCTACCTATGGCTCCGAGTATCCTCTTATCTAATTGATAGGGTGTTTGGTGACAAGGTTGACACATTTTAATATTTTACTCATGCATTTTCTTTTGTTTGATAGACATTAATTTTGTTTCATGGGTTTTGCAGCTTTTGCTCTCGTTTAAATTTGATGTTCTAGATGTGTCCATGGATTTTGATTTATGATATGATGTTGAATGATGATAAAAATCAGACGGATTCCCATTGATATATTTTATGCATGAGATCACAACCAGCTACTTCTGACAACATCATATTCATATTCATTTTCTTTTTGGTTTGTATAATTATTATGCTTTTTGTTATTCGCTCTACATTTGATGATGGGCCAGTGATGCTTGAAAAATATTTGCTACTCTTGATGGGACGAACCCATTTGATGATTTTTATCCACCAAGATCTCTGAGGCCTTCATTTATTTGTGTTACATGTTTATCCCTTTTGGTCGTCCTTCATTCCAGGATTTGCAATCTGATACATTTCCATATGTGCCAGAGTTAAATATCGTTGTAGAAGTTGTTCCTTGACTTTTAAAGTCTCTAATTTTGTTCTTTTTTTAAGCCAATTTTTGGTATAGAATAAAATTAATGATATTGAAAGTCAAGGTTCAATTTCTGCAAATGATTTTCTTGACATTTTTTTTGGAGACATTCCAATCGATTCATTGTTTCCGACTAGTTTGATTCAAGGCGGATCCCGAGATTAAGATTGTAAACCTCTCGGGGGGAAGATCGATTCTTGGCAAAAAAAATTATATAGTGCCAGTGTTGCTAGTAGTTCTAATGCGTAGTTGAGTAGAGTGTTATGGTCAGAGTTTGTAAATTTGTAAAAAAAAAAAAGTTTGAAAATATAACTATACTCAACGTATTAATATCTTTTACTTTGATTTTTCTAAATGACCCCTCAATCTTTTATTATTTTGGCTTGACACTCATTTTCTATCGTAGACTATTATACTTTTCAATCTAATAAAAATTTGACCTTATACTTTACATTTGACATCATGTGACTAATAAATTTATGAAATAATTGCATTTGAAATTTAATATTATCTAGTGTATGTATTTGGTTTTTCAATTGAATTAGTCTATGATGCACCGATATTTCAAAAAGTCTGTCCGACACTTCAATACACATTGCATAGATTCAAAAAAGGATTCAAATGTTGGGTTGTGTTATGTTTTTAGTTTCAACTATTAGCTTCGTTGGATTACGATTATCATTTTATTGAGTTTAATAAATATTTATAATATCTTATATTTCTTTGCAAAGTTGATGGGTTTATAAGTTTAGTTTTATTTTTTTGTTAAATTATTGAATATTAAATATAATATACACTACATAAATTAAAAATATTATTTAATATTGTTATGGACCTAACAAAGGCCCACATTCTAGACGACCCAGGTAAGGTTAACGGCTAAGAGGGAATTAAGGAAATATTTCTTAATTATACTAATCATACTATGACAATAATTGATCAACAATTGGACCCCCAATACTCCTAAAGAAGTCCATTCTTGCAAGTTAACCCATCCATTGTTGTTAAAACGTAGTGTCGAAACGTTTCTACGTTTTAATGACCAAAAACGTGTCAAAACGTTAGTTGAAACGGATTTTGGATCGAAACGGTTGAAACGGCGAGTCAACTCGGTAAACTCAGTTGACTCGGCGAGTTTACCGAGTTGACTCAGTTTTTTTTTTAAAATAGGGGTATTTTTGTCCAATCAAGTCATCCCCAACTTAAAACAAAAAAAAACCCTACCGCTCATTCATCCTTGCGTGCACGTTGCTGACTGCTGAGTTTCTGCTGGCTTGCTTTTTCCGGTTTTCCCCAAAAAACAAAAAACGCGCTGCTTCTTCAGTTCTCCTTCATCAAGCGAGGTATTCTTCTTCTTGTTTCTTCTTGCGTCTTCACTCTTCAGAGCACATTCTTCTTCTTGTTTCTTCTTCAGAGCACGTTCTTTCTTGCTCATTTTTCTTTGCTCCTTTTTTGCTTTTGTACAGTACCGAGTTTTTTTAATAATAGAAGTATGGGTGATGTATCCTCTTCATATCTAACACGCCACCATCTTTTCATACTGATATTAATAATTTAATATAGTTGAATATTCAATATTGAATTTTTATAATTTTTTAATTTTTAATTTTTTAAATTTAATATAGATCTAGTTTTTTATTTATAATAAAAGAAATATTGAATTTCCTAAAGTATTTGATATTGTTTGAAAGTAGAAATATTTGACTGTATTTAATTTTTATAAATATTATTGAAAGTAGAAGTATTTAATTTTAATTCAAATCTAAACAATGTTTTATTCTTTTATTATTAAAAATGATCCAAATTTAATTTACACGTATGTTTCACTCTATGTAATCACTGAGAATTTTATTCCAGTAAAGTAATAGGAAGATTTCAATTTTATTGCATGATGTTGAGCAAAACAGGAAACTAAATTCAATTTTATTGTAATGACTTATATATTGGTGTGTTTTGGTTATATATATGTTGGATATATTTTATTTTTTTGGTATGGAGTAAACTCTTACGTTTCGTTTACGTTTCTCGATTTTACGTTTTTGCTTCCCCCTACCGTTTCAGCGTAGACTCTACGTTTTAACAACATTGAACCCATATATAAATAAGGGGTTAAGCCAATGAGGTAGACACACTCTAAACCCTCTCTCTTAACTAGTCATTGTGCACACACCCCACGTCTTGACTATGTCGTCTTTATTATTGTGCACCCCACGTCTTGACTATGTCATCTTTATTATTGTGCACAGTGATCTGCTGATCTCCAAGGTACCTTCCCCATAGGTACCTCAGAGAGGGCAAACATATTTTATATTAAAAATATCAATTTGTGATTGGACATCTCGATCTACTAGATCGTAACAAATATCATAACGTGTCTTAATGTTTCAATTTAATATATTTTAGAATTAACGTGTCGGAGTGTCGTGTAGTGTCCTATGTCGGTGTCTGTGCTACATAAGAATTAGTTATATTATATTGTTTCTGACATTAGTGATAATGAAAATTTAAAATTGGTTTGGAAATTGGTTGATTTTATTTGTTGAGATTTGTAATTGTAGCATGATAAAAGTATTTCAACAGGGAGATTAATGACAAAATAAACATTCAAAATTTGAATTTATTTTTAAAATAGTATCAATTTAAAATGTTGTGATTTTAAGATTATTAGTTTTTCTTCTTAAATGCCTTCCAAATATAGTGAGTGTTTTAAAATTATTTTATTGGGAAAAATGTTTATCCTTTTAAATGACACAACTTAAATCCTTTCACTCTCACAAAGAGGTGGGACCCACACCTTTATTTTTTTTGTCAACTCTCTCTCCTCCTTTATCTATCTCTTTCTCTCTCTTAAAATGACACAACTTTACCTCCTATAAAATGATACACATTTTTCGTATTTTATTTTATTTTATTTTTTTTGTCAACACTTCGACACGTTAATTCTAAAAAATGCTAAATTTTGATACGTTAGGACACGTTTTGATATTAAATAATAATTTTAATATATATAATATATTTTACATTTAAAAATGCTAAAGTTGACCGTTCCGGTGAAATAATATTTTATATAATGTTATAATTGATTAAAATTTAAAAAAATTTATAGCCAGTACTGCATATCTGGAATATATAGCCTTGTTTACCAACTCAGCGTTACCAGAAAGTGCTAGGCAAATCTCTAGAACTGGATGAACTGGTATCATATATATCCATCCACACGATCTGGTATCAAATCTCCAGAAATAGTTGAATCTAGGCAAATATTTTCCTTATAATAGATCCATTATCATACAAATCAAGAAAAAAGGAAAGCTGAGACGCTATTCTCTCTTTTTCTTCCTTTTCTCCTTTATCTCTGAAGTCAACTCAAGCTTAATTCAACTTTCCTCTTCCTTCAACTTCTTCACCATCAGCATTCTCTTCAATCTTCTCTTTTTTTGGATACTATATGGTGTCTTCTTTTGCTTGCTTGTGGCAATAAGAATAACCCCAGTTTATTTACCTCACGATTCTGCTATCTCCATCTTCTCCTTTAAGCCCCTAGGTTCGTTCTCAAACAAGACAAGCTTTTCTGGTTCAAGGATCCCACCGACGCTTTTCTGGTTCAGAGGTCTGACGAAGAAGAAGAGATGAGGTAGCGTCCAGTGAACGAGATAAGATAGGTTCTCTTTTGTTTATTTTTTAATTTTCATTAAATATTTTTAATTGTAATTTTATTTCTTGTTTACCAAAAAAATGCCAAAACGTGTCCATATACGTTGACCGCGTGTCAGATTCGGTCAAAATCGCGTGTCTCCTTAATCAACGTGTCCCAAAAAATTGACCGCGTGTCAGAATGTGTCAGTGTCGAACACGTGTCCAACACGCATTTTTTTCCTAAAAATTCCGTGTCCGTGCTTTAGAGGCTGCACTTAGTGCCTATGTTTCATTAGCATTAATATTTTCGAAAGCAGACAAGTTCTTGGAGGTTTACAAGTTTAGGCTTGATTCTTGGGCTTGGGCATTGGGTTTATTGTACATGTAATTAGTACCGTTAAACTATAGGATATACAAATCTTACGAAATAAAGTTCATTCTCAATTCTATTTTCTCTTAGAAGAATTTTTTTAATTTTAAATTCAATTTTTCTGTGCTTTATTTAATCTATATTTCTTTTATAAAAAATATACCTAATTTAAAAGAATTTTTACGTCATAATGAGATGCAATACTGGGTTGGAAATGGATCAGACCCAACCCATCAATCCAAAGCCCATAATTTTTTAGCTCTCCCTACTCATGAGCCCGACCTAGGGACTGAGGTGGGTGGCCGCTTTTCCTTAAAAAATTTTACATATAAAATAATGTTTTTTTATTAATAATAAGTTATTAATATTAATAGTTAGTCTTTTCCTAAAAAATATTTATAATAATTAGTGTTTTCTATTATTTGTTTTAAACTTTCTATTAGTCCTAATAATATTTGTAATTTTAAAATTTTATTTTCATCCCTTTATTATAAAAAATTCTGAGTCCGCCGTTAGCCTGACTTAGATCTTTTCTTCTCTTTGAAACAATCCTCTTTAGAACACTATCTCTCTCTCCTTCCAACTTTTCATCACAAAAGGTATTTTAACATGCTTCAGTCTTATTTATTTTTTTCTTCATATTTTTAATCTTATAAAGGATTAACAATTTTAAACACAATTCACATGACATGAAAAATTCGTAT